CCGAGCCAGCCACAGGCACCGAGTCATGCAGTTAGTATTTTTATGTCTCAGGTAAGAAATATTTGCTTACTCAAATCATGAAGACATACTCCAGTGTCATCTTCTAGAATCATGGTCCCCAACCTTTTTAGCACCAGGGGTTTATTTCAGGGAAGACAATTTTTCCATGGACTGGTTGGGGGTGGGGAATAGTTTGAGGATGATTCATGCATATTACATTCATTGTATACTTCCTTTCTATTATTATGACATTGTGATATATGATGGAATAATTAGACAACTCATCATAATGCAGAATCAGTGGGAGCCCTGAGCATGTTTTCCTGTAACTAGACAGCCCCATCTGGGGGTGACGGGGAGTAACAGATGAAGCTTCACTTGCTCACTGGCCTCGCACCTCCTGCTGTGAGGCTGGTTCCTAACAGACCCCAGACCAGGACTGGTCCACAGCCCAAGGGCTGGGGACCACAGTTCTAGAAGATGTCTGGTTCTGTTTTGCACATTTTTAATGTATTGTTCAATTTGGTGTGCTACTATTTAGGAAAGGATTATGTACTTGTAACCATAAAAGATGTTGAGTTAAAATGTTCCTAGGGTATCATACGCTTGTCATCAAAATCATGCTGTCCTCAAAGAAAGAGCTGAAACGGTCCCTTTTCTATTCTCTGGAAGAATTGGTATAAAACTGGTATTCTTTCTTCGTAAATGTTTGGAACATTCACCACTGAAACTGAATGGGCCTGAGTTTTCTTTGTGGGAAGGGTTTTTATTATTACTCAATATTATTGCTCCCCGCTATCCATGTTATCGATATTGTTGCTCCCGCAGACATGCTTTATACAAGGGGCAGAGTACTATTCAGAGTTTCTATTTATTCTTTTCTCAGTTTAATACGTGATCTCTCAGTCACTTATCACACCTCTCCGACTCTCACCCTCCCCTTGCAAATTGGCAAATATCCTGAGTAGAAAAGCCCCCACAAGAAAGCTGGGGTTCTCTCCTTGGTGCTCCCCTTTTTGCTACTCTTCACCCCTCAAGGCCTCACTGGCTGCACAGCTCTTAGGTGATTTATTTTATTTTATTTATTTTTTTGACACTGAGTATCATTCTGTCACCTTAGGCAGAATGCTGTGGTGTCACAGCTCACAGCAACCTCAACCTCTTGGGCTCAAGTAATCCTCTTTGCCTCAGTCTCCCGAGTATCTGGGACTACAGGAACCTACCACAACACCTGGCTAGTTCGGTCTATTTTCAGCAGAGATAGGGGTCTCAGTCTTGCTCAGGCTGGTCTTGAACTTCTGAGCTCAAGCTATCCACCTGCCTCAGCCTCCCAGAGTGCTAGGATTATAGGCATGGCCGTGGTCCCAGCTACTTGGGAAGCTGAAACAAGAGGATCACTTGAACCCAAGAGTTTGGGGTTGCTGTGATGCCATGGAACTCAACTCAGGTTGACTAAGACTCAGTCAAAAAAAAAACCAAACATAAATCTAAATGTTATGCTCTTTACCCCATGCTGAGGTGATAATTGTTTAACTACTGACCCTTCAATAAATACGGGTAGAATTACGGCATACTGAGATGACAGTACTAGACCGCTGCTATCTTATTCATGCTGGAAAGGCAGCAATAAGGAGAAAGTTGGCTCTCCAAACTATTACTTGTGTCATTCTTTTGTGACTAAGTCTGACATAACTGGGACGTGTTCTTTGATCTGCCCAACATACGTACTTTTGTAGTGGCACACCTCTTCCATTCCTTAGTAACCCTAATCAGTCCCTGTCAATTAGTTAAGGATGGATGCCTTCTCATCCCAGACTTTTACGTGTGACCCAGGCCTAGCCAGTTAGCACTTCACCCAAGACATGACTGGTTCATGAATGGACAAGTGACCTTAACTAGACACACCAGAATTATCCCAGGAATTTTGCTGAGCTATTAAGAATGCTCCTCTCTCTTCTCTTCCATAATGAGCTAGAAGAACTATATGAGTCTGCAGCTACTGGGAAGTATTCTTCATAGCACATGAAGAGACCCTTCCAGAGAGTGAGATCAACTCAGAGAGAATCAAAGACAAGATACAGATGGGCGACACAGAGAAAGACACATACATGGAGAATAATGTTGGTGACAACATTTGAACCTCTGGGTCTAACAATTTCAGGCCTCTCTCCAGATAATCAAGACATATGAGCCAACAGATTATTTAATTTTTGCTTGAAGCACTTTGAGTTGGTCTTATTTATACTCATCATGTCTCTTTTGCTCAGAAGACTTCCCCAGGCAAATTGCCAAGGTCATGTTATAGTGTTGAACATAAACCACATTTCCGTCCTAGTAGAGTGATGGGAACGGGCATGGGACTGGGACAGCGCACTGCAGGTGAACAGCCC